TGAAGGAAAATTAGGATTTTTTTTTCTAGTAAGTTAGTAGAGGGATTGTATGACTTTGCCAGGGACACTTTGGTTTGGCTGGATGTACTGAATAAAAACACTGTTGGCTTTGTTAACTGGCCTCACCCCCTCCTGGTTCTACTTTTTAAGGCACTGAGGCGAGGTAGACAGCGTGTGTCAATGTACAGTGGAAAATATAAGACCTAAACAGCCAAAGCAAAAGAGTAGAAAAAAAAAAAGGAAGAAGAAGCGAGAGTTTAAATTAATACCCATGCAAAGAGCAATCCATGAAAATATTATCAACACTCTTGTGTCACCCAGCTGTTGGTCTTAACTCCATATCTAATTAGTAGGCAGGACTATGGTTTCTATGGTAACATTTTGCCCTGTAATCTTTTTTTTTCTTCCCCCCTAAAATATTTAAATCTTAAACATATTATTGATGCAGTTCCAGAGTTGCTCATTTTTTTAGCCTTGTAGAGGGGGAGTTAGGAAATAGACGGTAAGGTGATGCCATGGGAAAATTATTTCAAGAGTAATTAAAGTGTAATGGGATTTTAAGCTTGTGTGAAATGAAAAAAAAAAAATCTGTAATAATTGTCATTATTAGTAAACTTAATACACATTTTTTTAATGTATTTATCCTAGAGGGGAAATACTAGGAGCAGATGCTGAGGTGCGCACTTACTTTGGGAGAAGAAACACAATTTTTAGGTAAGTTTGAGAAAATGTTTTTTTATTTATATTCTTATTCACGTTTTTATTATTATTAAATATTTGTTTTTTTAAATATATTTTATTTGCTGACATACACTTTAGTTTAATACTATTTTAATTTTTTTTAACTGCAATTAAAAAAAGTAAAATCCTAATAATAAAATAGGCATAAATAGGTGTAGTGGTGGGGGAAGAGGGCCTTTTTTCAAAGCTGTACCGTAATTAATAGGAAAATCTGTTTATGTATTAATAGAATTCAGCAAAGCGACCACGTGGGAATATAGTGCAAGCAGGCAAAATGCAGAACAGTAAGTAACACTTTTTTTTTAAATGGCTACAAAATAAATAAGGGGGACATTTTGTCAGGTTTTTTTAAAATCAAGCGAATGTAAGGTGACTATGTCGCCCATGGCACAGAAAGGGTTAATGTCCCATCGCAAAAGAACATGGCATTAATTTGTCTGCCTTATTCATGGCTTGACCTATAAAGTGTTCCCTGATAGGGCATTCTGTGTTGGAAAATGTCATTACAAGGTGTTATTCCTGTGTGTATAAAAAAGAAGAAAAAAAATCCAGGGGTTCCAAATCAGCACCATATGCTTTCTTATTAGCTGTTTAGGAGTGGCTAATCATCGCCAGAGAGCCGCAGTCCTTAGCCCTCCCGAGGGAAATCAGATCATGATTAAGGCTTTAACCTTTTAAGTGAAATTTTAGTTTTGCCATTGTCAGTGTCATTTCTAAGTTGATAAATGGCGGCGGCGAATGACATTCCTAGAGGGGATGGTGGGCAGTGGACAGGTGCCTGGGGCAAGAAAAAATAAAAATAAATTAAAAGTCAATAAGTGGATTTTTATTGTCGACAAATCTGTGGGGAGACTTGAATCGCCTCCCATGAAGGGGAGCAGACATCTACATCAGTCTTCGCTCATTCTGGGCAAGTCCAGCGCTCATTTTGTCTCAGAAATATCGCTTAAAATAAACTAGGGATGTCAAAGTCGCAGGTTTTGGAAATCCTCTGGGTTGCTGTAGTGTCACTCGATCGAGTCAGTTTTAATTACATTTATGTATTATTCCTTTTAAGTGTTATTATTTTTTTAACATTTTCTTAGTAAGATTACACTGCTTTCCCGAGCTGTCCTAAACTTTTCGCCCAATGAGATTTCTAAAAGAGTTGGAGCCTTTGCTGTTGTATTGTTAAGAGATCAGCTGAAATTCTCCCAGAATGTTGACTATAAGGAAGAACTCACCCCTTCCTGTAATAAACAGCCATTTACTATGGGGTGAAAAAATACACCAAATTAAAGTTTTGCTGCTTTGATCGCCTAAGTACTGTGAACAAAATGTTCCCATTTGCCTGAGCTGCCTATATAATGTGGTGTGAGGGGGCTCATTACAAAAAATGTAACAGTACAATAAATAGAGGGTTATAGAATGGCCAGTTTGTCTTTAGTGAGGTTACTAAAAGAGGAGAAATTAGTTTATGTGCTGTGAAGAGTTCGGCCACAATCTCATCCTAAAATAATTCTGAATTTAAAGTACCCATTTAGGATTATTTACTAAAAACTTTACGCCTAACCCAAATCTGCGCTGCTTAACGCCCACTTTCCTTGTTAATAATCTGCAGGCAAGAAGTGGTCCCTCTTCTAACCTGACCCATTGATGACCAAGGCAGGTTTATAGATTGTGGTCTCAGGGGTTAATTCAAAATATAACGTTAGGATTTAAAGTATGAACGTTGTGCCCCTCCCCCCTTAAAAAAAAAAAAAAGAAAAGTTGTGCCTCTAATAAAAGAGACATGCCTCTAATAAAAGAGACACGTTGTGCCCTTTCACTTTGAACCCCACCCCCCCCCAAAAAACTTGTGTCCCTTCATCCTTAAAAATGTATGCTTTTATAGAAATAGAAAGACTGTGCCCCGCCTCTCTTACAAAATTAAAGGTGTACCCCTTATCCCTTAAAAATATTAAACTTGTGTCCTTTCTCCCTTAAATGTGTGTCCTTTTATGGGAATAGAAATACTGTACCCCCCATCTCTTAAAAATGAAAGGTGTGTCCCTCATCTCTTGAAAATGAAAGGTGTGCCCCCATCTCTTAAAAATATTAAAGTTGTGCCCCTCCACCTTTAAAATATAGTAAAGTTGTGCCCCTTTGCCCTTAAAAAATAAAGGTGGTGCGCTCCGTCTCTTTTAAAATAGAAACGTTGTGCCCATCTCTCTTAAAAAATGGAATGGTTCTGTCCCTCCTCCCTTAAAGAATATTAAACTTGTACCCCTCCAAATTTAAACTATAGTAAGGCTTTGCCCCTTTGCCCTAAAAAAATAAACGTCATGCCCACTCTCTTACTAAATAAAGGAGTTGTGAAAAAGAATAAAAGTTCTTAAAATAAAGAAAAGGTGTGCCCCTCCTCTCTTAAAAAATATTAAAGTCGTGCGCCTCCACCTCTAAAATATAGAAAGGCGGAGTCCCTTTAACATTGAAGAATAAAAGTTGTGCCTGCACTTTTAAAAAAATGGAAAGGTTGTGCCCCTCTTCTCTTACAAAATATTCAATTTGTTACCCTTAAAAAATAGAACACTTGTGCCCCTCCACCCTTACAGAATATTAAACTTGTCCCCGCTCCCTTACTAAAAGAACACTTGTGCCCCATTTATAAATTTATAAATAGAACATTTGAGCCTCTCCACCCTTACAGAATATTAAAGTTGTGCCCCTCCACCCTTATACATAGAAGACTTGTGCCCCTCCACCCTTATAAATAGAAGACTTGTGCCCCTCCACCCTTAGAAAATAGAAGACTTGTGCCCCTCCACCCTTAAAAAATAGAACACTTGTGCCCCTCCACCCTTACAGAATATTAAACTTGTCACCCGCTCCCTTATTACAAGAACACTTGTGCCCCATCACCTTTATAAATAGAAGACTTGTGCCCCTCCACCCTTACAAATAGAACATTTGTGCCTCTCTACCCTTACAGAATATTAAAGTTGTGCCCCTCCACCCTCATAAATAGCAGACTTGTGCCCCTCCACCCTTATAAATAGAAGACTTGTGCCCCTCCACCCTTAGAAATAGAAGACTTGTGCCCCTCCACCCTTAGAAATAGAAGACTAGTGCCCCTCCACCTTTATAAATAGAAGACTTGTGTCCCCGAAACCCTAGAAATAGAAGACTTGTGCCCCCCAAACCTTAGAAATAGAAGACTTGTGCACCTCCACCTTTATAAATAGAACACTTGTGCCCTCCAAACCTTAGAAATAGAACACTTGTGCCCCATCACCATTATAAATAGCAGACTTGTGCCCCTCCACCCTCATAAATAGAAGACTTGTGCACCTCCACCCTCATAAATAGAAGATTTGTGACCCTCCACCCTTATAAATAGAACACTTGTGCCCCTCCATCCTCATAAATAGATGACTTTTACCCCTCCACCCTTATAAATAGCAGACTTGTGCTCCTCCACCCTTGCAGAATATTAAAGTCGTGCCCCAGCACCCTGTTTTTGTGCAGGAACTCGTGCTCGGCTTATCTTCCAGCTCGGGTGATCTTCATCTCCGGCTAGAAAGGGTCGTTTTTTATCATGGTAGCATTTGTCCTGACGATGCAATTTTCCAAAGCAGAGGACTGTCATAAAGTGACAAGCCTGCCACAAGTACTTCAAATGATCTTTTCAATTAGCCTCCCATGCATGATCTAGGGCGACTTCCGCCTATTTCCAGAAATTAAGCTCAAACTTGACGTGCAGCTAGCTTTATTTTAAAGACAAATGTCAGAAAGACTCATCATACGTTCACCCTCTCTTCTATATTTGGTGCTTATTTATTTGCTAAGAAGCCAGCGCTCCTGCAAGACGATTTATCAGCCCTCTGCGAGCGGAGCAGATCACATCCTCTCCAGGGAAAGCCTGCATCTGGGCTCACGCTTCAGGTTTGGGGCATCTTTATTTTTTTCGAAAGCCTAAAACTCCTAATATCTCCAAACTTACAGGACCTGCCATGGAAGCCGATGGTATTTATGAGACAATTTCAGTAGAGCAGTTTTGGACTTTCCTTGATGACTATACATTTTAAAACCGGTCTGGTTGACTGTTTTGTAGCTGTTTGCTGGCATAGAAGGCGTTGAAACAGACTGGAGTTGCAGGAAAGAGGTGTTTTAGTCCATTGGCAGCATAGGCGTCATTGTGCGTTTGAGGCGTTTCAGGCGTTTGGCGCACGGTAATGAATCTGTTGCTGTTTTTCCTCTATCCCTTCCTAGGTCACAGCGGCGTTAACCAACTCGGTGGCGTGTTTGTCAACGGCAGACCCCTGCCCGACTCTACCAGGCAGAAGATAGTGGAGCTGGCTCACAGTGGAGCAAGACCCTGCGACATCTCCAGGATCCTTCAGGTGAAAACGCTGCTTTCCAACGCTGACTCTCTTTTTTTTCTTTTTTAGTACATTTGTGTGATACCCGTTTGACACAATGCTGCCCCTCCAGCCTTTTCATTTGGCATTCATCTGCTTTTTAAAAAATAGACTTAAAATCTTTAAATTATTTAAGAATAGGAAAATGAACTTAGATTTCTAGGAACTTTGCATGTTTCCAACGTGCATCTGTACTGGTTAGCATTGCTCTCCTTTGTACATAGACTTCTATGTTTTGGCTCTTACTACTCCCTCTTAATTAGGACTGTTCTTATCAGTTCCAGTTCAGGTCGCTGAGGCTGTAGGCGAGTTAAAAATTCTATTTTTTATTGATTTTTTAAAAATTATTTGCTATCTGTTTAGTTCTATAGAGTTGTGTAGGGCCACAAATGTAAAATGATCAGCCAGCCATAAGTTCTCATGTACCATTGAAGGTATATTTTTGTATTATAGAGCCATGCAGATGCAAAAGTTCAAGTGCTGGATAGTCAAAACGTAAGCTTGTTATTGTTTAATGCCTACTATAAAATTGTACTATTGTCTTGAAATTATTCATAATGTATTTTGTTGTCGTTGCTCTGTGCAGGTCTCCAACGGCTGCGTGAGTAAGATTTTGGGGAGGTATTACGAGACTGGATCCATCAGGCCCAGAGCCATCGGGGGCAGCAAACCCAGGGTGGCCACCCCAGAAGTGGTTAGCAAAATAGCCCAGTATAAGAGAGAGTGCCCCTCCATCTTTGCGTGGGAGATCCGGGACAGGTTGCTGTCTGAAGGCGTCTGTACCAACGACAACATCCCTAGTGTAAGTGGAACAGGGGAGGGGGGCTTTAGCGCGCGGCGGGGCGAAAAAAAAAAAAAGCGGAAAAAACCAACCGCGATGTATAAAGCGCATGTTACGCATAGTAACTCAAATGGATGGTTTCCAGAGATTCAAACTTTATACAGTGAATAGAATATACTTTTTTTTAAATAATATGCACGTAACAAAAAAAAACAATATTTTTTAATTGCCGGAGTTGCTTTTGGTATCTATGACTTGAACTGTCGCGATCTCCCTCCGCAGGTATCGTCGATAAACCGAGTGCTGCGCAACCTGGCTAGCGAGAAGCAACAGATGGGCGCAGATGGCATGTATGACAAGCTGAGGATGCTGAACGGACAGACGGGCACTTGGGGGACCCGGCCAGGGTGGTACCCGGGCACGTCAGTGCCAGGCCAGCCGACGCAGGGTAAATACCCGGAGCAGTCCGTGTACTGAGAGCTTGGAAAGAGATTTGCTTTATTATATATATAGATATTTGTTGTCACATTGTATCACTAGGCCGGTGATCAGCTCTAAGATCCGCTGTTTATAAGTATTTGTTCTTTGGTGAAATTTGGTGATGGAGAATTTGGAGGTTTATGTTGGGTGAAGAATTGAATGTTTACATTGACATCAGGTAGTATTATTGCGGAGTGATTGCTGAGGATGAGAGGTTGTGGATTTGTACGTGTGGACTACTGAGACTTGTTACATTGACATGGCGATAAGATTGTGTAATTGTGTTTCCTTTATGTGATGGGATGATATCATCCGATCTGTGTGTTATTGTACTAGATCTGTAATATATAGATCATTGGAAAGATAGATAGATAGATAGATAGATAGATAGAGAGATCAATTGATATGATAAATAGATCGATAGATATGAAAAGATAGATAGATAGATATAGATAGATAGAGATAGATAATAAATAGATATAGAGAGATAATAAATAGATATAGATAGATAATAAATAGAGATAGATCGATAGATAGATAGATAGCTAGATAGATAGAAAGATAGATATGAATAGAGATAGATAGATGGACAGACAGATATAAAGATAAATTAGACAGAAAGAAAGAATAGGTAGAATAGATTGATATGAGAGAGAGAGAGAGAGAGAGAGAGAGAGAGAGAGAGAGAGAGAGAGAGAGAGAAGAGA